GGATAGGAAATTTATCAGACAAATGTTTACCTACAGGGACTTTACTATATGTTTTGTTTAAACACACTTTAATCAACCTAACTAGTTTCATGGGTATCCCAAACTCTTATCAGAATATTTTACAATACTTCCCTCCTAACTGAATCATAGGCTTTCTTAAAGTCTATGAATAGCTGATGCACTGTCTCATCATACTCCCATTTTTTCTCCAATATCTGAGGAATGCAAAAGATCTGATCTGTAGTTCTGTTACGTCGAAACCCACACTGATGATCCCCAATAATTTCATCTATATATGGACTTAACCTTGAGAGAAGAATATTGGACAAAATTTTGTATGAAGTTGATAGCAGTGATATCCCCAATAATTACTACAATCAGTTTTAACACCCTTCTTGTGCACTGGTACAATAATAGACTCCTTCCACTGATCAGGCAATTTTTCCTTATGCCAAATAGAAGTAATTAGATTGTGGATCTTAGAATGTAATATTTTGCCTCCTGCTTGAGTAAGTTCTGCCAGAATTTGATCACTACCTGGCGATTTATAGTGTTTCAATTTTGCAATAGCACTCAACATCAAAAGGGCTAGGATCAGGTATTAACGGCTAAGGTATATGGATTTCTGTCTGCCTAACATCACTGACCCTATGTACATTCAATAACTGAGAGAAGTAGTTCCTCCACCTATTCAAAATGTTGTGGGAATCTGCAAGCAGATCACCATTCTCATCCTTCACTAAGTTACTGCTAGGCTGGTAACCCTTCTTAAGGTCATTTATTCTTCTATACAAGTCTCTAATGTTATTGTTCTTACTGTTCATTGCAAGCTCATCAATTTTGTCTTTCAGATATTCCCTCTTTTTGTTCCTGAAATGGTTGCTGGTATCACATCTTATATTATTAAGATTATCCCCATTTAACTCGCTATTGCAATTTGGTCTGCCAATAGTAAGGAACTCAAAACTTGTTCAGTAAATCATTCATGTAAGTCAGCATAAACTCTGACCCTCTCCTAGAGAATACAAGTTAATTACCTGTGTGTGTTTCACTCTCACTGTTCTGAGCTTCATGGTACACTTGTCCATACAACACAAACAAGATAGGCAGCAATGCAATGCTACAGACAAAACAGCACTTGCGGTGGTACATATTGCCACCACTGCTGCCAAAACAGAGAGGGTGGTAATGGTGATGGATGTGAGTAGGACGCACTTCATATAACAATCTCTCCCACCCCATCCTCTCTGTGCATCCAACAGCACAGAAAATGTGTCAACGTGATTCAACCATCTGAAAATGTTAATTTGAATACATACATTACAATTTAATATATTTATTTTTGAACAAATTTTAACATTTTCAGCTAAATATAAATTATCATTTAAAACTCTAGTAGCATTGCTAACATTTAAGTGGTGGCAATTTCTGTCACAAAATATTCAGTAAACATATAAACTTATGATCACAAACATAAGTGAATTACACATTCCTTAAAAGTAAGTTTTTTTTTCTTTTTTGGCTGACTATTCAATGAATTGCCAGTATTGAGAATATACAGTGCAGGATTTAGAGTCATGTATATATACTGTCAATAGCAACTGATGCAGGGGTGATAAAATGGACTATACACACGTTCAGATATAACTGATCAACACTTTAAATATTAATACTATGGTCTTCTGGGATGTTATGTCATGTGGTTTGATTCCCATGTACCAAACTACACGATGTCACAACCCAGGAGGCTGTAATTTATGCACTTCGTACATGAAACAGTCAATACATACCCATACTACTTGTAAAAACGCAACCTTATACAAAACTGTTTGGCAGTTAAGTTTGCGTTTAAAAGTCCTCAAGTCTGCACAAGTGCGTTCGTTGTTTAATCTACAAAGATCTTTTAATGCTAAAAATTTGTCAGCAACGCGAAGGTAATTAAATCTGTACTTGTTAATATTACATAAGACTGCTGGGCTTGTTACTTACAAATACTGACCATAAGTAAAACTGATTATCCGGCATCAACAGCCCAAAAGTTCACTCTCATAGTGTTTTTACAGGCTGCCAATGTCCCTCAGTTACCATATTCATATCATTTTATAAATAATGAAATTACGCATGAAAACAAATACGACCACCAATCCCCACTCATGCCTTCAGTCGGCATTCTGTGCTCGTTTTTACTCCTACCAGGCTGACTACAAAACAAATATTACTTGTTCAATTATTTTATTACGTACTTTTCTCCTTATGGGTAATAACTTTCCCATATTTGTAGACTGAAACGGTTATATGTGCAAGATCACATTTAATTCTCAGTTAGTTAAAGCACACTCAACTAACGATTAACAGTACAAGACCTACATGACTACTAAGTTTGCCATACTGCACTGACCGGCACACACTGCACACAAGTGACGCAAATGACCGCAAGTGACAGGGCCAAAGATTACCAAGCTCTTAACGTTCCTAATCAACTACGATTACTCTGTGAGACGAGAACAATATTTGGGGGGGAGTATGACGCAGTGTAGTCTGGTTGACAGATGCATTCATTTTACCTCATTTCGGTGGACCAGGTCTACTGACACGTACGTAGGACGTGCCGAAGGGAAATTCGGGCGAAACAAATGCCAAGCAGTCACTAAGTTGGTCGCGTAGCCATCTACGAGAAAGAAGGGAACGATTTCACTGATGATAAAGATTTCTCGTCATAACCTTATGCCATTGGAGGGTAGCATAATGCCATGACATGTGATATTCAGTAATCATTTGTATCAACGTGGGGGATGCGCAAACTCGTGAGGTGGGAGCTGCGTTTTCGACACAATCTAAGCTTTCACGTAGCAATACAACCTCGGAATATAAGAGCATAGATTCATATTATGGATGCAAAAACAGTCAACACACTCAATTTTATACGCAACGTCATATTTCGATTTATATTCCATGATACGACAGTCCTATATTACGTTCCGTTAAATAGGAGCTTCGTAAATGAGGTCACACTTAGGTGTGAGCAATGAATTACTGCGCAACCACCTGTAACTCAGGGGTACCATTCGCTGATGTTAGATTAGATTAGGTTAGGCTAGGCTAGGTTGGGTTGGGTTAGGTTAGGTTAAGTTTGCGCACTAGACTACTGCGCATCCATCTGTACCTTGGAGGGGGCGAAGCTCGGTAATTTACGCTAATGTTAGGTTGTGAATTTACATTATGACAGATGTGCGCAAATGACTACTGCGCATCGTTATGCTCAGTTGAGCACTGTTTGGCTGTCGGCAATATCTTACGATTGAATGTATCTGATAGCGTATTAAATCATTATACCATATGTCCAAAAAGTATCGGACTTTATTTTTTTCCACTGTAAGTAATGGCCAAAGAGGTGGGGAACCTGAGAGTAGCAGTACAAGGGACTTTCATGCGCATGCGTGATTTTTTGCTGACTCCCAACACTGCCGGATGCGTCTGTGGCTGCCAGATAGCGAAGTGGTGTAACACGTGTTGGTCGCATTCTCGTTTCGCTCAAGATGACAGAAAGCTTGGAGCAGCGATACTGCATTAAGTTTTGTCAAAAACTTGGGGATACCCAAGTGGAAACAATTCGCAAAATTCAGCAGGCTTTCGGCGATGATGCAATGTGGGTCACTCAAATTAAAGAGTGGTTCAACCACTTTAAACATGGCCTTATGTCGGCGGACAGCGAGAAGCGTTCCGGGAGATCGTCAATGCTGATGTTATTGAAAAAGTGCGGACATTGATCATGGAGGACCGCCGCTTGGCCATCCGCGAAGATGCTCATGAGGTTGGGATCAGCAGAGGTTCCGCAAACACAATTTTAAATGAGGATTTGGGCATGCGAAGAGTGGTGGCAAAATTTTTGCCCAAGTTTCTTTCGCCGGAGCAGCAACAACTCCGTTTTGAGTTCGCACAGGACATACTGGAGTGGACCAACAGGGATCCTGAGTTCCTGAAGACTGTGATCGCTGGTGACGAGTCGTGGGTGTACGGATATGACCCGGAAACCAAGGTTCAGGCATCACAATGGAAGCATCCAACATGCCTGAGGCCCAAAAGAGCACGAGAGGTTCGGAGCAATGTGAAGGTGATACTGACTCTTTTTCTTTCAATTACCGGGGTGTTGTGCATCATGAGTACGCACCAATAGGACAGACTGTCAATAAGGAGTACTACCAAGAAGTCCTCTGCAATCTTCGTGATGCAGTTCGGCGCAAGAGTCCGGAGCCGTGGGACGCACGCAACTGGCAGCTGCGTCATGAGAATGCCCCAGCTAATTCATCTCACTTGATCCAAGGTTTCCTGGCCAAACACGGCATTCCGCAGGTTCGTCAGGCTCCCTACTCTCCTTACATGGCTCCTTGTGATTTCTGGCTGTTCCCGAAATTGAAGACACCGCTAAAAAGCTGATGTCTTGACAGCCGCGAGGACATCATAAAGAACGCGACGGCGCAGCTGCACGTCATTCCAAAAGAAGCCTTCCAGAATTGCTTTCAGCGATGGAAGAACCGCTGGGCTAAGTGTGTGGAGTGACAAGGGGGCTACTTTGAAGGCAATTAGGTATTGTAACAACCTAGATATAGAACTTCTTTTCCCGGCCCAAGGTCGGATACATTTTGGTCAGAGTAGTATACTTTTACGGGACACTTTATTTCCAAATATTCTCACACGATAAACGCTTGCATATATTATTAAGTTAAACTGTGTACGTAATCTATGAAACCTGGAACATATTTCGATATTTATAATGGTCGTAAATGCATTTTCTCCGAAATATTGACATTTTAGGACGTTCTCAAGTGCATGATATCACAATAATCTTCATTGACTCTTACAATTTCCAACATTTCCACAAATATTCTCTTTTCGAATGTTCCCATTATTAACGTTATTATGTTTTTCGACATATGTGAAGTAGATACATATACTTTATATGAAAGTTATCTACCCTACAATACTAATGCTCGAATAATAGATAAGGAAATCACTGATTACGATCTGAACCCAAGGAAATATAATTCCACATTCTTCTAAGCATTAAAACAAAAAATGAACACATCACTATATATGTTCTAGATTTAACTATATAATACATTTATAAGAATGTCAGCTGTAACAACTCGTGCTTTTCTGTAAACATTGTGATTCTGTAAGCAGTTTAATAGATGAAAAGAAAATAATTCCCTGATGCTGTATACTACCTGCTAGCACATGTAAGCCGCAAGATTAGATGACAAGCATGCCATCCGTTGTCTATCACACCGAAATACAAATCTAACTTACAAATCACTTGCCATCATTCTTCATGCTATAACACATATTCTACACACAACTGTGCACATTTTACACTGTCATTGAATAGGATTGCCAGCATAACACCAATGACAACATGTGTTTCACTTAGCATACCACCTCCTTATAAGCAAGAATTCTTCATGCAAACAAGGTATGTTCTTAAAGAGGAATCTTTTTAATCTATTTTGGGTGAATGGAAATCTTAACATTCTTGTAAAACACTACAAGACCTCACTACACATCACTGTATATATTGTAACGTGTTTCGTTACAGGATACGCCGTAGAGATCGTTAATTGGTTTATTCAATAATCTACAAGAAACGGCTACAATTAATTAAACACAGTTGCGGGTTTCCACACTTTACAAATCCTACAACCAAAGTCTTCACGTACTAATAACGCGGGAGCTATACGAATCTCCCTGAATTACACACTCCCAATTACACAATCACACACACGTCCGGTTCTTCTTTCCGCGACGGCTGCTATACTCCAACTGTAGTCGGCTGACTGGAGAACTGTTGATAACACACTCGATCGTAGGCTTGCTCGGAACTGTCTTCGGCGATGGCCACGTTACAACTAACCCGCAGGCTGCTGCCTGGAGAACTGTTGAAAACACACTCGGCGACAGTCACATTACAACTGACTCTCGCTTGCTGCTCAGCCGGCTTTTATTCCGTTCGCTGTTGCTAGTGTGACGTGGCGTATAGCCTAGCAACGCTGTTACCCCTTGGTGACGTCACCGCTGTTGACTCGCTTTGCATAGCTTCAAGGTTGCGGGGACTCGGCTAACTTCGGCTCCGCTCGGCTCACTTCGGCTCCGCTCGTGACGTCACCGCGGGGAGAGTGGCGGGGTGATGACTCGCCTACTACGCGAGCGCTACGTTACCGCTACGTGCCGCTGGGGAGGTAGGGGTCCTTCGTTGCGCAACATGTCACAATATTACACACAAAATATAACGTCACACTAGAGAATTTAAATTTCAATTTAGACTCGACATTATTGTGACCAAAACAACATACATTATACCCACCGAACTCAGCTACACAGAACTGATATATACATTCAAAAAATAACATCTCCAAATGGAAGTAAAAATTCACTTTGAACCCTCTTCTTACATGTACTTATACTAATGCAAAAAAGTGTATCATTCTGACTAATAACCTACACACACGTGTAATATTCAGAGGCTATGTTGTGCCAAAATCATTGCGACACAATTATTCCTCTTATAAATCTTATCGCTGCCACCAGTTGTTCTGCCGGAAGGGGGGTGTTTAGCAATTACCAAAAAACACTAGTTCACAGTAGTCTACTCTCAGTCAGCTGCTGTCCCTCAGGAGCCTCTCCCCTTCCTCTGGCTTATTCTTCCTGTGCGGACTGTTGTTTCTCCCTGGTTCAGTGCTCACAGTTCCCATGAGACGTAGGGTAACGCAGGAGCGGTAAAGGGGAGGAGCCTATCGGTTTGTACCAATAAAGTTCTCCACATTTCCATCCTAATCTATTCTTCTAGTACCTACATACATACACATATATACAGTAAATAATGCCGACTGCTGTCGGGTCGCACACGGTTCACGTATATTCCTTATCTCTCCTGTACTGACTCTTGGTATCCTAGCCTGTTCTGTTGCTCATTTTAGTCACTGGGTTTGCACTTTAATAATATCACCTTACATTTCATAGCTAATATGAGTAATTCGACTTATTTGAGAAAGGGATGCAGATGATCATCTCCAACTACCAATTTGTCGGTTCCATGACGGACATAGCCTCCGGCTACACTCCTTGAAAAGACTGTTTGTTTAGCTTCTAATATTTTCTTTCGATAATT